TGTGTCGTGAATGGATGATGAAAGTATATGACTGATGAAAACATGATATTGATGATATGTCTGCCAAGACATGACAATATAACAGCTTATGATGCGCTCGCGGCCGTTTCGCTAGCGTCACGTATACGAAGTTTTTTGGTATTACGTGACGTGAATTGTGGACAAAGCTAAATGACACGTCGAGACATGATGAATAAGATATGCGTGTTATTTAAAACATCACTACATTATGCGCTTATGATGCGCTCGCTACCATTTCGCTAGCGTCACATATACCAAATTTGGTATCACGTGACGTGAACAGACCACGAAGGTAACTGAAACGTCCAAACATATAAATGATGACATGCGTGCAATGTAATACATCAGTACATGCCACACCCATAGTGTGTTCGCGGCAGTTAAACTAGCTTTACCAGTACCAAATTTGATATTACGTGACGTAAATGGACAACGAACACAAACGCCAGGCGCAAACAAGAAAATTATGACATAGAAGCGTTGCACGGCATACTTTACGTCCACCTAGGAACGTTTTGCTAATTTTAAAGTGGCATATTCCTCATTCGTGCTTCGCATATCATCGATTCCCACTACACGTGGGTTCTGTCAATTTTTTATTTTCAAAAGCTAATGATTAGCAAAGCATGGCACCTGCAACGTGGAAAAATTCAAGCATATTCACGCAATGAATGCTGATGATGGGGCGAAGTAGTGTGCATTGAACCCTGAATCATGGCCTTCTACTTTTTTCTGGTTAAGAGATCATTTTGTTCTGCCATATGCCTTTTTGATGGGTGTTGAAATTTTGGCGTTTTCACAGTGTTAAGGCCTTTTATTTTGTCTGTCTTGGCTTACAACGTTTTGATAACATTTTTTTGTTATTCACATATGTGCCGGTTTGTGCGCATGCACCGGCGCTATTTCTGCTGTAGACTAAAGTGGGTGGACAGACATTGTGTGGTACCAAGGTACTTTGCCCCAAAAATACCCAGTGGCCTTTTTGTGCGCTCTATTTCCAAAGATAAGAAAGTGAAGGAAGGAGCTGGGAGTTCAAAAAACGCCATATTACATCAATGGTATGAAGCTTTGAAGGTTTTGCTTTGCTCCAATTTTCAGACACAGCGCATAGCCAGATGGAAATATTGTCTGGTCAACATCGTTGTCTTTGCTTAAATCTACTTGCCCACTGTATCGAAAACTACACGTGAAGTTCACTTTTGTAACGAGCAATGTGTTTAAAATGCGTTACGTAATTTTTAAATTTCATTTATTATTTTTTCTGCGAATGAATAATCTGTTGTCACTGTCCCCCACAGACCAGCACCATCTCCCATCATTGTTTGTTTTTTATTAGGCCGGGCTGTCGTATTTTGTAGTAATCGGTTGTCGTTACCTTATATAGCGCATAATTATCACGCAATTTCGACAGGAATCCTGCTTACACAAGGGATCACAAGATATTACCGATCCGGCCATCACATCTATTGAGAACGCTGTGAGGGCCTCCCACAGGTGGAGGAGCGAGTCCTCCGTCGCCTTTGCAACAGAACGTAATTGTGCCCGGCAATCCTAAGACACTTCCACCCCGCTTTCACGGGGAAGTGCCCGCACTGTAAAGAAAATTATTGTGGTAAATTCTACGTGGTTTGGTTATGCCTAAAAACCCCAAATTTTTCCTCTATACTAAACCCTTCGCGTGAGGACTGGGAGGCAGCTCTGCTCGGCTGCTCTGACCAGACAGCCCAACGGGTCTTGGTTGAGCGTGCCAAGGTGCGGCCGACGCAATTGGGATACCGTAAGGGAGAGCCCACCTAGTGTTGGTAAATTGCGGCCTCATAAGGACCGGTCCCCAACCTCCCTGTACATAACGTCCAAAAATAAATGTTTATCACCACCCGTGCCAACGCTAAATATTTTTCATCTTGTTCTTCGAGTGCCTTGATGCTGATAAGTTACCACGTGCTCGCGCCTTGAATGAGATCTTCGACCGCATTGGTGATGTTCACTTAACACCCTCCAGCAAAAAATAAAGCTTCTGCACATGGCGAACGCACGCAAAACCACTTATAAAAATCATAAAAGGAAGCAATTACTGAATAGGAAGAGAAGGAAAGGGGAAATTGGGAAGGGGGATTGGGAACTGACTGAATGACATGAATTTTATAACATTGATTGATTGATATGTGGGGTTTAACGTCCCAAAACCACTATATGATTATGAGAGACGCCGTAGTGGAGGGCTCCGGAAATTTAGACCACCTGGGGTTCTTTAACGTGCACCCAAATCTGAGCACACGGGCCTACAACATTTCCGCCTCCATCAGAAATGCAGCCGCCGCAGCCGGGATTCGAACCCACGCCCTGCGGGTCAGCAGCCGAGTACCTTAGCCACTAGACCACCGCGGCGGGGCAATTTTATAACATTGTTTCATCAATTTAATTTTTCATCGATTACAGTTGATGGCAGAAAGAATTAGGCTAATCAAACTCTTTTAGTATTGTCAGAAGTAGTTATTAAATTAGAGAACCCACTTTGGATAACGATAACACCGTTCGTCGAGAGCAAGCTACACCTCAACACCAAATTTTTTATTCAATTTTTTCAATATTCCAGCGCACGTGTTGTAGACGCTTGCCAGTGCGGGTTCCTGTGGATAACGGAACATCTGTTTTCAGAGCTATGTCGAGACGCCGCGATTTAAAGCAGCATTCTAAGTACGTCAGTATGAATTCGTGCGTGTACTTTTCTGCTAATATACATGGGGTACCTAATTATGATTGGTATGCCATTTCAAGAGCAAAACCCAAGACGAACCATTTCTGCTCACTCATAGTCAAAGTCTGGCAGCGCCATCTCTCACACAGTTGCAGAAGCCTTAACTCTTCTAGAGCGGTATACTTTGAGTAGAGGGCGGCAGTATAGCTTTGGGTAGTTTGATATAAAATTTTGGTTTCACGACCCGAATATTGATTTCATTTTCTTGTAATTATTTCAAAGCCTAAAACGCACAATGTGCACCAATGAATGTTCTAAAAAACAGCTCACTGGGGTTTTTACTCGAGGTAACACAGTCATTACGTTTGGAGTGTACGAGGTTAAAACAAATTCTCTGCTTAAATGTAACAGTATCACGATCTTAATTTTAATCACACATATGTGTGTCAATCATGAAGATAATTTGCGTTATTAGTCGATTTTGCTTTACCACATGACTTTTTACTGATATCGTATTGAGCACCTGCTCCTTAAAAGGGCATCGCCCTTACCCTCCCTCACACTGACATTTATTTCCTTCTCCGTGCTTCAGCGAAATTCACTCAATGTGGTCTCTGAATGGATGGGAAAACTTTTTGCAAGAGTGCAATGAATAAGCGGCAGAAAAAATTTAATCATATAAAGAATGTGCGCACTTTTCTACACAACAATCTGAAAGCAGTTTTTTGGCTTCAGTTGAAGCAAATTGATGCACTCGAACTTGAGTCGCTAACAGGATCCTTACGTAATATTATCCTCTCCTGAGTGTGCTCATGAAATACCCATATATACTAGAGGGATAATCAGGGTGGACAGTGGCAGTGCCCCTGACAGGCTGGTGGACGTTTCGATAAGAGGATCTGTCTTTGTGAAAGGATCTTGTCATCCTTGGAGTGTTAGTTTAATAATAATAATAATAATAATAATAATAATAATGATAATGATGATGATGGTGGTGGTGGTGGTGATGATGATGATGATGATGAAAACTATATAGTTCTAGCCAACGACTTGTGGAAACGGATCACAATACATGCATAACCATCTCTTTATTGCTTTCATTCATGCAGATTTGAGGAAATTTATATTGTAGTCACTTATAGAGGCGACTTTATCTAAGTCAGCCCCTTGCGCAGGCGTCACCAGTTGGGGGTCGAGCAACATCTGTGAAGGAGCGCTTGTCAGTATGTCATTAACCCTTTCAGCCCTGACTTTTTTGTTTTAGTTGCGGATTTTTTTTCAATCCACTTTTTTTCATGTTCAGAACATAAACAACATCTCCATAAACTTTCAACTTCATAGCGCCACTGAATACGGAGATAGAAGTATGGTGTCAAAAACGTACATCAGGGCTCAATGATTGCAAAGTGAAATATGTGGCAGCTTTATTGAAAAGACATTGGGCAATTCAAAATCGCCAAAGTGATCAAATAGATGAAAAATAAATGTTTTACACGCATATGGAAAGCCCTGAAACAATTTCTTGACTTTGTTATGCACAGGTGAACCTTGCATTTCTCGCACATTAGGCGGGTTCTTCCTGTGCAGCCTTCCATCTGGCATCTTCTTTCCCTCGTTTCGTCGTGAAGCGGGAAATGTCCCAGCTGATCAAACCTTACATCTTCGATATCTTCGGGTGTTTTGAAACCTGCAATGGTGACAGTGAAGGCCTTCCCCTCTTAGGTGCCACTGGCTTCGACCCAGCTGCTGACAGGCCCTCAATGACTCTTTGAGTGAAGTCGAGGTCAAGCTGCTTAGGGAGGTTCTGTTTGTCTGCATCACGTCTGTACTCAAGCCAAGCGTTCACCACCGCGAGGTTCATAATATGAAACGTCTTTTTCAACGTCCACTTTCGGGAGCGTATGGTAGTCCGATTAAGGGAAATGAGGAAGTCTACTTCATCGACACCGCCCATGCTGTGGTTGTGTGCTTTGATGACTGCTGGTCGCTTCACGTCCACGTAACACTTTTCCGCTTTGTTCCAACGACGAATGCTGTCTTCATCTTCGATAGCAATAAAGTTGGACGCAAGGGTCACAGTTCTGTTATCCATCCACCTTGTTATCGCTATATTTCCATCAGCGCTGACCACGTAGTCTGAAGAACCGCGGCCGCTTTTTTTAAGTTCTTTTTGAGTCTTCAAGGGGCACTTTTCACACCTGTTCGATCTTATAGTGCCGGCAGCAAATATTTTTTTTTACCTAGCATTTCACGGAGCAGTGGCAGAGACGTAAAGTAGTTGTCAAAAAAAGCTTGTGTCCCACACCAGATGGAATTCGGTAGCTAAACGCAGCACTACTGCGCCGGTAACACGATACTGCTGTTTGATGTGGTCTTCGGTCATTGTTGTGGACCCCTGATAGGGCATAAAGTCATATACAAGGCCAAATTCGCCACAGAGCATAAATATTTTGATGCCCCATGGGTTCGGCTTTCCTTTGACATATTGCTTCATGTCGAGGTGTCCTTTGAAGGGCACCATCTGTTCATCTATGCAGAGGCACTCCTCTGCTACAAGTGACTTGCACTTTCTTTGGAACTTATCAAGCAATGGCCTTACTTTCCAGAGACGGTCAGTAGCGTCAGGGTAATTCACATCCACAATGTGCAGGTTATTTTGGAACTTTTCAAAGTGGTTGCGCGACAATCCTGCAGACGCCACGATATCACACCTCATGCTCGGCTTCCAGTAGAGTCTGAACCTCGGGTAATGGAGAACACCCATTGTGAGATGTAGTGCGACTCGACGCCTTATCTCTGCCTCGTTGGTGTTGATGGAGCTTCCTTCGTGAAACACTGAGTACCGGTTTGTTTTTTCAGCCAGCTCCAGAAATACACTATTTGGCACATACCCTTTGAAATATTCGTAAGGGGACAGCAACTCTCTGAGTTCCGATGCTTCATGGACATCGCCTTTGTAAGTTGAGTCTGGCGCCTTGAATAATTTTCGTCTCCAGCCGCCAGATGTGTTCAGTGCATTCTCGTCATCGGAGCTTTCAGTGTCGCTCTCCACTGGATCTTCATCAGGAGCACAAGGCACCACACTGTCGTCGTCTGATTCATCGAATTCCCCGTCTACGTCGGATAGGTGGCCGTTGTCGAGCTCCTCAAACAGCGCGTCCTTTGTTGCTTGTAGCCGTGTGTAACGGGTTCGGTGACACGAATAAAACGAAGTCACGGGTATACCCGCACCTGCGAACATAAAAAAACAGGTTAATAAACATACAGCGTCAGCGTTCGTTCAGATATCGCTCGTCTAAAACACGCACCACAATCGACTCGGACACCGCCATTTGCAACCGTTGAGCCCTGATGGTGTCAAAATTGTACATGAGAAAAGCATGCCACTGCAAAAATGCTGCACATGCAAACAAAAAAACTCAAACGTCTTCCAACTAACGTACTATCAAGGCACAAAATACAAAAAACTGGGTGCATAATCCAAAAGAATTACGTAGCTACAATTGCAGAAAATCAGAATTCACCCGGCTCCGCGTTCGCCGTGATGTCGCCGCTGCTTCTTCTGGCAATAGGTGGGCCAAGACTTCACATTGGGCGAAACATTGCGAGATTTTGCTTCAATTTCTCGGCGTGGTGGTACCATTTCTCGTGTGGAGTCAATTGACACGGCCAGGGCCGAAGGGGTTAATGAAAAACAATACATTTGTCACTAAATATTTAGCTAGCGACGATGATAACATCAACAACGTACGCGACAAGTGCGCGTGGGTTTATTTCAGTTGTACTCCTTTAACTAGCCAAACAGAGTGTCCTCGATGTAAGCTTTCAATTGAATGCAACCTACTGGCTTCAATAGCATGTGTATGACCGACTCATGCTTGTCGACACAAACCACTGATGCAACGTGTACAGCTGTGTAGTGGGTACCACAAAAATATATTTCCTACCCTAATCACAACTCCTTTGCTTCGTGAAATGAAAGCAGGGTAAAAAAATGCAGCAACTTCACGCTGCAGAGGTATCATATAGTCCGGAATATTTTTGGTATCATACTGCTTTAGCTCGAAGCAATGAGTAGATGTCGAAAGCATAACATAATTGTGATGAGTGATACACAAATGAATACAAAATACGCTATCATGGTCCGCTCTGTGTGTACGTCATAGCCCGAAGAATTTGTTTGGTGATATTACTGAAATTGAATTGCGCGCCTCTGTTTAACTTTATTATTATTATTATTATCATTATTATTATTATTATTATTATTATTATTATTATTATTATTATTATTATTATTATTATTATTATTATTATTATTATTATTATTATTATTATTATTATTATTGGAAGATGCGACTACGTCCTGTGTGCGTCTGTTTCTGAACTCACACGCACACAGGACGCGGACGAATCTGTACGTGCACTGTGCAGACGTTCCCGAGAATAACTTCCAGAGGTGAAAGCTTAAATGTAGCGTTGTACTAAGGCGCTGCTCTTTATCCATAGGGAACTTTAGGGATGCTCAACTTCGTTATTTAGTTTCGTTTTCTAAAAATGTAGCAGCGAGAGGGGCTCAAATTGCAAAATCGGTAAAGCCGCGACAGAGAAGAGGAAAGAGAATCCGTTTATAAATCACGTGGTTTGCTCGTCGTCCCCTTATACGACTTCTAATGCACGTAGGAACCATCGTGGGGTGCCACTAAACACAACACACACGAAGAAACAGACGGGGTCATGTGCCTGTCCTCGTCCTCTTATTCCTGTCTGTTGTGTTTAGTTTCGCCCTCACGATAGTTTCGATGTCAAAGCACCAACTCGCTCAACATTCAACTCTTTTGAAGTTGATCTTTAGGCACGTCGACACCTTTACCGTAAGCATCAGCATAACAGCAAAAACGTGCTGGTGGTTGTAATAATCATGGTACCCAAGACAATGATGACTATCATTATGATCGTTCTAGCTTTGACCAGTGTCGTAAGCATATACCCGATCCACTGATTGTGAGTTTGCGCTCGTCTGTTTTTGTTGCAGTGTTTGTGGAAGGGACATTTTAGCCCTTATTTTTTCCACAAAAACAAGTAAAAATCAGTTACCCTTTTTAAGAGTCTTGATTTGCTACATACCTATAGTTTTTTTTTTCAAAGTCAACGTTATCTGACTTTGCAAAAGTCGCATCTTCCAAAACTCTTCGAAGAGAATGCAATGATCCTCACCTGAGAGTTAGCGTGCGCCTTTCAAAATATGTATGTGAGGTGCGAGTCTCCACTATTAGAAAGAGTAACAGGTAACCTTCTTTTTTTCTGAAGTGCCGACTCGGCAACATCGTCGTGATAACTAAGTCAGCAAGAACCCTATGGAAGGCGTGGCCTGCTAGCTCAGTCGGTTAGAGCGTCGTGCTAATAACGCGAAGGTCGTAGGTTCGATCCCTGCGCAGGCCAGTTTTTTTTCTTTTCATTTACAATTGCACTGACCCATGGTAGATAGATATATGGACTTTACCGTCCCAAAACCACCGCATAATTATGAGAGACGCCGTAGTTGATGGCTCCGATATTTTCTACTACCTGGGGTTATTTAAAGTGTACCCATTCTTCGGCGCACGAGCCAACAGCATTTTAACCTTCATTGAAAACGCGGCCGCCGCAGCCGGGATTCGATCCCTCGATCTGCGGGTCAGCAGCCAAGCACCTTATAGCCTCCACGGCGGGGCTCGTGTGAGAACCTCACTACATACCACTCTCAAGAAGCGCTCAAGGTCGTATTGCTAGCGTCACATATACGAAATTGGGTATTACGTGACGCGAACGGACCACGAGGGTAAGTGACAAATTTAAACATGATAGTCACGACGTGCGTGCCATTAAAACATGACTACATTCTGCGCTCATAGTGCGTTCGCAGTCGTTTCGCTATAGATTCAAATATACCAAGTTTGGTATTACGTGCCGTGAATACACGACGGAAGTAAATGATTTGCCAAAACATGATAATCATAACATGTGTGCCATGTAGAACATGAGTACATGCTATGCTCATAGCTTGCTCGTGGCCGTTTCGCCAACTCCAGATATACCAAATTTGATACCACGTGACGTGAATAGACGTTGAAGGTAAATGACACGTCAATAAACCATAAGAAAGATATGGGGATCATGTAAAACATGACTACATGCTACGTTCATAGCTTTCTCATGGCCGTTTCGCTGGCTCCACTCAAGATATACAAAATTTCATATCACGTGATGTGAATAGACGTAAATTACACGTCAAAACTTGATAATCTTAATATGTCTCTCTTGTAAAAGATGACTACATGCTACGCTCATAGCGTGCTCGCAGCCGTTTCGCTAGCTTCACCCGCAACAAACTTGGTAATAATTGACGTGAATGCAAGATGAAGGTAAATGAGACGTCAGGAAGTGATAATGATGATATGCGTGTCATGTAGAACATGACTACTTGCTACGCTCATAGCTTGCTCGTGGCCGCTTCACCTACTCCAGATATACCAAATTTGATATCACGTGACGTGAATAGACGGCGAAGGTAAATGACACGTCAAAGCACGATAACAAAGATGGGGGGTCATGTATAACATGACTACATGCTACGCTCATAGTGCGCTCACAGTCGTTTCGCTATAGCTTCACATATACCAAATTCGGTATTACGTGACGTGAATACACGATGACGGTAAATTACGTGCCAAAACATGATAATCATGATATGCGTGTCATGTAGAACATGACTACAAGCTGCGCTCATAGCTTGCTCGTGGCCATTTCACTCCTCTAGATATACCAAATATTGTCTATCACGTGACGAGAATGGACGACAAAGGTGAATGACACGTCAAAACTCGATAATTATCATCTGCATTCGTCTCAGGTAAAACATGACTACATTGCTACGCTCATAGCGTGCTCACGACCGTTTCGCTAGCTTCACATATACCAAATTTGGTATTACGTGACGTGAGTGCACGATGAACGCAAATGCCAGACACAAACATGATAATTATAACATGGAAGTGATGTACGGCATTATTGACGTCTGCCTCGAAACGTTGTGCTAATTTTAAAGTGACATTTCTCTTCTTTGTGCTACGCATATAATCAACTCCCACTATACGTGGGATCTGGATATTTATTTTTAACACCTAATGATCAGAAAAGCATAAATTCTTTCATCTGCATAAAAAAAGAATGTACTCATATTCACAAAATGAATCCTGATGACGGGGCGAAGTAGCGTACATCGGGCCATGATTCATGGCTTTCTACTGTGTTCTGGTTAAGAGTTTCTTATTTTGTTGTGTTGCGCGTTTAAATGTAGTAGTTGTGGTGGTCTTAAGTCCTCTTGTATTGTTTTTTTAACAACCTATCAATAACTTTTCCTTATTGATATATATTTCGGTTTTTGCGGATGCGCCAGCGCTACATTTTTTAGAATAAAGCGGGGGGACGGGCATCGTGTGGTTTTAAGGTACACTACCCCAAAAATACTTCCATGGCCATTTAGTGCGCTCTATTTCCAAACAGGAAGAAAGAAAAGAAAGGGGCTGGCACCTTAAAAGAAGGCTTCTAAGATCGATGGTCGGAAGCTTTGAAACCTTTTATTTCCTCTAGTTTCTAAGCAGAGTGAAGACGAATAGAAATATTGTCTAATCAACATCCCTGTCTTTCCCAAATACTACTTGCCCGCTCTATCGAAAACTAGACGGCATGAAAGCACTTTTGTAAAGAGCAATTTGTTGAAAATGTCGAAAAGCGAAGCTTTTTTATTTTAATATTTATTTTTTTCTGGGAATAAGGAATCTGTTGTCAGCGCCTTCTATTGTGTTTCTTCGTTGGTCTGAAAAAAAGAATAAAGCCCGCACTTTGTCAGATGCTGCCTCATTATCGTCCCGCACTCGCTCATGTCGGCTGCTTTTTGTCAAAGATTTTTTTTTCTTTTCTGTTCTTGTTTTAAGTGGGACGCACTTTAGTGGTGGGGGGGAGGCGGCAGGTTACGTATGCGTTTGTATTCGGTCATCGTTGCCTTATATGTCACATAATGATCACGCGACCTCGAAACCAATCCTGTGTACAGAAGAGATTACAAGATAGTACCGATCCGGCCGTCCCATCTATTGAAAACGCTATGGGGGCCTCAGAAACGTGGTGGAGCGAGTCCTCCATCAACTTTGCAATAGAACTTCATTGTGCCCGGCAATCCTAGAGCACTCCAACCCCGCTTTCACGGGGAAGTGCCCGCACTGTGAGGAAAATTACAAAGATTCCACATGGTTGAGTTATGCCAAAAAAACATCAAACCTCACCGCTATACCCAACCATTCCCGAGAAGACTGGCAGGCAGATCTGCTCAGCTGCTCTGACCTGAAAGCCCCACGGGTCTTGGTTGAGCGTGGCAGGGCCACGGCCGACGCTATTGGGATAGCGCAAGGTGGAGCCCACCTAGTGTTTGACTGGGACGGCCCCTTAAGGACCACTCCCCACCCTCCTTTTACATAACTTCCATGAATGAATGTTTTTCACCACCCGTGTAAACGAGAAGTATCTTTGATCTTGTTCTCCGACCGCCTAGATGATGATAAGTGACCGCATGCTCGCGCCTTGATTGAGATCTTCGACCACTTTGATGACGTTCCCTTAACACCATCACCAAAAGTAAAAGGTACTGCACATGGCGCAACGAAGGCAAAACCTTGTATAAAATTGAAAAAAAAAGGAAGCAAGTGGTAAATACGAAGATGAGAAAAGGCGAAAATGGAACAAAAACAGAAAGAACAAAAAAAATTTTAAAAGAAAAAAACAGAAATAGAAATAAGGACAGGAAAAGGCACAAAATTAGAGAAGAAAAAAGAAACGAGAAAAAAAAAGGAAACCGAAGACCATTAAAGAAGGCTGCCCATAGAGAGAGAATCAAACAATTTTCGCTAGGAAATAAGTCGCTATTGGTTGCACCTCTAGCCCGGAAATCCATTGATTCTTCCTGCAGTTGCTGCGCTGCGTCAGAGCTGCACAGGGTCGCCTCCCACTACTGTAGGATTATACAGGGATTGCTACGGCACTCCCAGACCATATAAAATAAAGTTCCTGCCTGGAGGCAGAATTTGCATCGCGGATAGTACTCCGAGGGATCTACCTTGATCAATGCTCAACTTTGCACTTCCTTCTGGCCTGACGCCCCAATAGTGGGACGTTAGCTTAATTGTTTTTATAAAAGGAACCTAAAACAATTTTTTAAGTAACCATGGAATGATTTCACTGGAAGAGCTTATTTCCTCACGGATACAACGCTGCAAAAATTTAAAAAATCCATCCAGCGCGAGTGGGGTTACAAAGGTTTGTCGCATGCTGCAATTGCATTGTCTCTTATCTTGTCCCGACGCAAGCACTGGAAGCTAAGCAAGGAGGGATGACAGGGCCAAAAAAAACGTCACGCACGCTTCTCAACCTTGAGAACTTTCTAAAGACGATAATCTTTCTTGGGGACCTTCATCGAAACATTTTGATCTGTCTGTCTGTCTGTCTGTCTGTCTGTCTGTCTGTCTGTCTGTCTGTCTGTACATTTCGCTGTTTGTCCACCCATAACGATACCTGAAACGGCACCAGATGGCCAAGCCCATTCACAGCACCCAGCAATATTGCTCAAGGTTTAGCGTTCTTAGTTGTGCGATTGTCAATTGAAAGAAATTATAGCGCATATCTGAGACACCATAACAACACGTTGATGTTTTGTATGTCTGTCTTTATACTAGAAGAGGCACACACAAATAACTGTAAGGACTGTAGCATTTATCGCGCTGCACTGAAAGTGCAAGGTGATGCTCATAAAGGTAAGTGTTTCCAACGCTTTACTACGACGACACAATGGTGGCACTTGCACCTCGCTTTGCGTTCTACACTTCATCACCTCCGAGACTGGCGCGCATCTTTCTCCGCGGGCGCGCACGCCTTCGTTTTCGAAGATAACTGCCAGATGGCGCTCGTGTCTAACATACCTCCATGCACTCGTTCGCCTCCGCTACACGCTGTAGGCACTCTATCGCAGCGTCTCCACAATACCATTCACAGATTTTCTTGCGCGGTACATCAAATAAACGTTTTCTTCCCTCTCTCCAGACGCAAAATTATCGTCTTTCGTCGACATTTGCAGTGGAACATGCAGATTCGGGCCGTTTTTTACTTTTTTCTTCGATTGCGCGCCTTCCTCAGTGTAATCGCGTGCGCAGGAGTGGACAAGTAGCGGCCTCCCGCAGCGATCGCTGCAACGAGCGAGCACGCCATGTTCAAATCAGCTAATGGTTGATAGATGGGTCAACGACGTGTGATTTTTGGGCATCTAACGGTATTTGTCGAGAGAAGAGAAAGCAATTTTCGGCAGACTTGTATAATTTATTGTGATTTCCCGGTCGCATGTTGTGCTATGTTCGGCTCGCGTGTTGTCGAGAGCCTCTACTACCGATCGAC